TCTGAGTGCTGCTGACACTTCTCGGAGCTCCTGGAGATTTGCGAACAAACAAACAAACCTGGAGCACGCTGAAGAGTGGAGAAAACCGCAGCACAGCAGGCCGCATGATTATCCACCGCCTCGTGCTCCAGACTCGATGGGCACAATTTCACACAACATATTCAAGCAGTCAAGTATGCACGGGCCCATAAAAACTACCACTACCGTTTGCATTTCGCACCTGGGTCAAGTCTTCCATTGGCTGCAAAGTTTTTACAACCATGAAACAAAATGAAATTACCACTGTTAAGATTGTCAAATTTTACCAGTTTAGTGAATAGCTTGGACAAAAGTCTATGAGGGCACAGAGGGTCAGTGACGAGATGTTAGTAAGTGATCACAAGTAATTAAGTAAGCCAGTACAGGAGGTGCATGCCAGAACTATTGTACATGTTTTGGTGGTAGGGGAAACAGGAGCACCTTGAAGAAACCTACACAGACTCAGGGAGAACATGCAAACCCCAAAGAAAAGTGAGTAAGAGTTAGTCATACTCTTGTGGTCGTTGTGGAGGAGGTTCTTCATCCTCTCTGATGCCTGTTATTTTTGGCAAAAAGACTCCAGTTTGAGCGACTCAATGATGTTCTGATTTGAAAACAAAAAATATGGCTTCACTCAACCTCAAACAAGGAGATTCATAATCTCAAAAGAAGCAATATTAAAAAACCTGGGCATTAACTTCTAGAATAATAATGCATAATTTGTATATAGTTATTTTTTGGACACTCGCATGTCATAATTCATTCACTCCATACACAGTGGTGATAAACTAATACTGTAGCCGCTGCTGCCCTGGGTCACACCAACTGAAACGAGCCAACCAGTATGTGCAATTAACCCCTCCCACCACCACCAACCACACACACACACCAGACTCATTGTGGGTGAAGTGTCTTACTTGAGGTCACAACAACAGTTTGGCAATTTACAGCTGCTCCACTGTGGGTCCCGGTGCTCCCAGAGGTCTCCCATCACAATACTAACCAGGCCCTACCCCTGCTTTGCTCTAACAGAACCTGGCTTCCACAAGCAGGTATGGCCACAAACATATTGCGTCGTTAGTAACAGTGAGGATGTCGACATGTTTACGACACGATACATACAGTTCCCCTAAAAACACTGCATCCTATTGTAGAATCTACGTACAGCAGCTGCTAATACAGAAATAAATCAAAAGACAGACCAGAATAGACTCGCTAAACGCAGCCGCTGGAACGTCGTATCAATCACTCAGCCTTCTCTCATCTACCGAAGCCTTCTCTCATCTACCGAAGTGTTCTGCTTTCAAACACGCTCTTGTGCGGAACAAAAGCAGCCCTTATTTTCTGCTTCCTGGAGACGTGAAACTCAATCATTCACACAGAGGCGCGGCGCTAACAGGCTCTAACAGGAGGCCTCTGTCGGGGCCTAAAGAGGAGCAGCGATCGGCTTTTCGATCGGGTTTTAACGGGGGAGGGGGGCTCTTCCTGCTGCCAAATCCAGGTCAGGACCAAATGACGTCCCAGCGGCCGCAGGATGAGACGAGGAGGTTGTTAGCAAGCTTTGTGTCAGCAAAATATCTGAGGAGCAAGTGGGGCAGGGATGCAATGTTTTTTTTTCAACAAATGCCATATTCAGCTTTGAGCTCACAGTGAGAGAAAGACCAACCATTTTAAATTGCTTTTTGATTGATTGATAGATAGATAGATACTTTATTGATCCCCGTCGAAGAAATTCAGGTGTCCAGTAGCAGAGATGAAGCAGTGTCTGGGTGGAGCAGGACGGGTCAAAAGGTGGATCAGCCGCTTGGTTCAGACCATTTTCTCTGCTCTAGTCCAAAGTAAAATGCGAAATGCTTCATTAGCATTTTTCAAAAAGTTAGCATTCCTCCAGTGGATTTTCTTCTGATCCACTTGGTTCGGACCATGAATCCTCTCTGCTCTGGTCTGGACCAGTGTAAAACCATGAACACTAAACTGCAGCAACATCTCAGGTAGAAAAAGCAGGGAAAAAACAGATGTCTTACATCTGTTGGTAAATACAGAATACGTTGGACTATTAACAAAACCTGTCTGTACTGGGATGTACTTTTGGCCTCACACCAAAGTACATCTGAGACATGAGGATGCGATATGAACACACAAGGACTGGCCTCCTGCTGGGACTGAGGAGCACAGGGACTGGCCTATGGCTGGTGCCGAGAGTCAGGACTAAACATGGGGAGGGACCATTTCAGAATCATGCAGTTAACATTTGGAGTTTGGAGGGACAGTATCTTCACTCTTCTTAATGTACTGTGATTATTTATGATTTTAATGCCTTGTATTGTTTCTATCTTGTTCATCCCTTTAAGTTGGCTTGTGTATAGAACCAAGGGCGTAGGTTTGCGTGGGGACCATGGGGACATGTCCCCACCAATATTTGGTGAGGACTAAAAAGTCCCCACCAAAATGACATGATGTCCCGTGACCCGGACGGTCCGGGACACATGTCTTCCGTTTGTGCACACGTCGCGCCTCCTCCTCGCCTCCAGAGCAACAGCAGCAGCAGCAGCACGTGACCCGTTCCGTTCTCTGCAGTGATTGGCTGTCTTCTTCAGCGCCAAACTGAAGCACTGAGCAACTGTTTAATTTTTAAAAGTTAGCCAGCGTGAAGCAAGTGTTTTTTTTTCGTTCCCTGAGCGTTGTAGCACGTGAGTAATCAGAGGAAAGTACTGTAGATCTATTACCATTCAAAGTACTTACGTTATTTCTAATCTGTCAGCGCACTGTTTAATGTTCCGAGGAGCTCACACGGCACAGAGACAGAACAGAACTGGCTCCAATAAAGAAACAGGTTGGTTGAAAGGCTGAAAAAATACTTATTGTGCTCTTACTATCCAAAATGTATAAGTGGGTGTGTTGTGTGAATCAGGATAAACTAGGGATGAAAATATTCCACGGATCCACGATTTACAACCTTTATCTGCTGATAATGTAATTTCTGTGAAATGTGTGACAGCGGGCACTTGCTGTTATTTGCTCTAAGCACATTCAAGCGATGCACTCGAATGTGCACGTCCTGGTGCAGCTGCTGCCGCTTTGTAATGACAGCCGCGGCGCTCAGTGAAAGCACAGCTCTAACATGGTACCGAGCTCGGACCATATGCAGACAGAACCATGTTGCAAGTGCGGGTCTCCCTCGTATCTCCCCCGTTTCTCCCCTGTGTCTCTGACATGTCTCTCCCCTGACTCTTCCCAAAGCGCAACCAGCGCTCCCGAAATTAAAGCTCGGATACCTAAATTTTCCATTGCGTTAACGATGCATGCTGGTTGTGCGCAAAACACACCACAACAGGTCATTTAAGTTTTTATTTTGCATACTTGAGAGCCCTGTGAGTCATTACTTGCCTTTTTGGGTTGAGAGTGGAATAAAAAAAAGAAAATATAGAAAAATCCACACTGTTACTTATTGCCAAACTCTTGTTAACTCATTGTATTGAGAAATACTATGTAACTTTTGACATTGGCCAAGTTATATAAATGATTCTGCAGTTCATGTATATGAATGTCTGTTTTTGATTGTCTATACCTTCTTATATAATTTAGAAAAAATGCCACCTCCCAAAAAAAGATAAAAGATATCAGGAGCTTTTTTAACAGTTGGAAAGTAAGTAAGAGAAAGCACAAGTAATAGCAAATTATGAATTGTGATGATTAATCTTCTGTTAACATACATAGGAAACTCAACCAACAAGAGAGAACAATATAGGGAATGTTGAGGTAGAAGCAACAGGCCCTTCAGTGCATCAGGTGAGGTTGGAATTTTGTAGGTATGCATGGGACTATGAATTGTTTTTAGAGATTGATCGTATATGTCAAACAATGTAGTGAGCTACTCACTGTAGATTCTAATTCAATATTTTCCCTCTGTTTTTATTTATTATAGGAAATTGAAAGATCAGAGCATGATTTATTTCAAGTATCGAGAGCAGTTCCTGAACTGTTAGAGCCTCAGGTGAGGGCTATTATGTAGATTTGGATTAGGTTTAAGTCAGTATAGAATCATACTAAAGTTAAAGAACATCATTTGGTTGGAAATTACCTATGCCAATTACAACATATTTTACTACTATAATGATGCAAAAAGTGTTGTCTGAAATCTTTTACTAAATATAGGACACTCTGAGAGATATAATGGAAATTCAAGAAGGAGATAAAGACAAGGACAAGACAGGACTCCAGGTGAGGTTAGGATTAAGCAGTTAAAATCTTAGACCCATCAACCAATTCTAGTTTCATGAGATATTTAGCGACTGGTGTACCATGCCTAGGTTTCATTTTATTCAATGTAGAATGTGTGTTTTTATTAATACCATAAAGGAAAGTCAGACAAACAGGGAATGTGCAGTGCTGGTAGAGGATGAGGAAGTGGCTGGACCTTCAGGGCTTCAGGTGAGGTTGAAAGTATTTATTTGGTTTTGTTGGTGGTAGAAGGCAACACACTATTGCAAATATAGTGTGTGATTACACAACAAATTCTGGGGGAGAAACTCTGGCCCCCGTGTCAATGGGTGTAGACTCAGGTCGTAGTGAATGTCCCCACCAAGATTGGAACCAAACCTACACCATTGTATAGAACTGTGCAATACAAAAACACTCACCTTGCCTTGCCTTATTTTGTACTGTAATCTATTTTTATACTGTATGTTTGAACATGTTTAATGGGAATTGATCCAGTGTGGAAGATGAACAACCACTTGTAGAAGCTAATGGGGATCTAAATAAAAAACATATAAATATAAATAAATGCAAATGTAACTTGCTTGTCTTCCTGAAACCTTTCACTTTTCATTTCAAAATCAGAATGAAGCTCGATCTTGGGATGAAGAGTGACGCTCAGACACTCAAACTGCCAGCTGCTAAAAAAACAACTCAATGTCATCTTTTATGGCTGCACATAAACCTTGATGAGAAAATGTCTTTAGAGTCTGACTCTATTCCCTTTACGAGGTGCGGAGGAGGGCCCCGGCTGCAGCCCGTGGAGAGGCCCCTGCACTGACCTTGTTCCCCAGGGCCTTCTTGGGCGGGAAGTTGAAGGTGTCCACTTGAGGGAACTGAGCTCGTAGGAGGTTGTGCAGCTCTCTGAACTCGGTGTAGCGACGGTACACGTTCCACTCGTTGTCAAGGATACGGATGTAAACCTGCAGAGAGGAAGCATGTAAGCGAAAGTTAGTAAACACCCGGCTTTGGTCAGTCTGTACTGGTATGGAGTAATGGTAGCAAAGAGTACTGGTATCAAAGAGTACTGGTATCAAAGAGTACTAGTATCAAAGAGTACTAGTACCAAAGAGTACTAGTATTAAAGAGTACTAGTACCAAAGAGTACTAGTATCAAATGCCGTTTTTCCACAGTCCTAATACGGTACGTTTTGACTCTACATAGCGCGCCATGGCCCAGTTCGCGTGCTTTTCCATCAAAAATAGTACCCCCAGTATGTCCTCAGCCTTGTCAGACCACGTCATTTACGTGTGACGCGTAACTAGTACATGCATGGATTTATTATAATATCAGAGCAAGTGTTTAATAGAAAATTCAGCACAGTACGAATAGTTTTTGAAAATGCTTACGTCTTAAAAGAATGACTCAGACACTGTGAAGTCAATGGTGCTGACTGCTCGGTACAATCTGAATGGGACATACCTGTAGCAACAGCAGCCTGTGTAGCAGAGGAGGAGGGCTGCATGTCCGAGGATACTGCTAGGCTATAGCTAATGCTAGCGCTAGCTCTAGACACTGCTCACTCACTAACCCTGGATTACAAAGCTACTACTGTACTACACTTAACACATCTATCACTGCCATCAGAGGAGGATCTGGGGTTTAATCTCGTCATATGGCAACTCGAGCAGTAAAGGACCGAGGGAGAGACAGCGGCAGCCATAGGGGTAGCGAGTTAGCGGCTAGGCTAAGCTAGGCTAGGCTAGTCCGGACTCGGGTCTAGACTACAGCAGACTCCGAGACCAGACAAACAATCGATACCTAAACCTCAGCTACAATAATAATAAATGAATGAAACACAGTCTTGATACAATCACAGATTTATTGAAAACAAAAGTAAAGGGCAAAACCAACAGTTTACAAAGTCAAAAGTACGTATGTCTAAGACCAGGTGGGTGCGTACCAATGTTCCCCGGGTCCGATGTTCCCCGGGTCCGATGTTCCCCCACTTCTATAGGCGGGGGAACATCGGACCCGGGGAACATCGGTACTTCGCGTATTAAAAAGTCCCGATGTTCCCCGGGTCCGATGTTCCCCCAATAGAAGTGGGGGAACATCGGGACTTCAACAACGAGACTAGTCCCGCTGTTCCCCGCGTGTGCGCTTTGATGTTTGATGTTTCCTCCTCCACGAAAGATGGCATATGATCCGCGCCAACTTTTGTGAGAGAAAAAATACTAACTAGCCTAAGCCTATTTACTTTTCTTTTTCCCTCTCGCTCTTTGTGTGCTCATATTTCAGCTGATCACAGCTTGAGTCTATGCAGGATATTTTTGGGCATGTTATGGGCATGTTATCTCCCCTTGCTCTCCCATGGGCATCTATATTTGACAAGTCTGACTGAATAAAATGAGGACGATTGAAACTAGAGCTACTACATCTGTTAGCCTATAGTTTTTCCAAATACGTGGTTTTGCTGAGGGCACTGTGCTTTTACGCATAATGGACACGCATATGACGTCGTTTTTGTTGTAAAACTTGAATATGCTCTTTTAGTTTTAGAGATATTAATACATATTATTCTATTCAGAACGCGTGCGTCATTGTGCATTGTTGTCCCGCCTTACGTGTCACTCACAGTTAAAATGTAAATAACCAATTCAAACATAGCATTTTTACAACTTGAACTTTAAGAAAAAAATGATCAAAGGAATCAGTGTCAAATAAGATCGGAAAAGCTCAATTCATGATTGTTTAATTAGGTTTCCCATTTTTAGATACAATTGGAAACGCTCAGAATTCAAAAATATTGAAAAGTTTATTGGCTCCTACAGTGGGGGGAATAATAATAATAATAATAATAATAATATAACCCCCTGAGCGTCATCACGTTCCTAAGTTGCTTCAAATCCTGTTTATTGGCTGAACAATTTTGTCCAATATCATATCACACAGCGTGAAGCGAGAACAACCAGCTATTCCTCGCCTTAAAGATTGACATCGCTCTCAAAGCATTCACAACAGAGCAGCCTTTTTCATTTTAATTTTAAGAAAGTTCAGCGTGAACTTTGTGAGGTAGAGTAGCCAGAGGCCCGGGCCCGTAGGTCCCAGAGGAGGAGAGCGCGGTCAGGCCAGGCTCGCCTTGCACTGATGAGGTAAACTCTAGGCCTGTGTGAGACACACTGTGGGCCTCACTGTAGGCCTCACTGTGGGCCTCATGTGGGCCTCATGTATGAAACCTGCGTACGGCCAAATCAGGGTGTAAATGAGGCGTACGCAAAATATTACACTTTTCCGCATTTATCTATCTGGACGTGAGCGTACAATAAATCTATACTCTGAACTCAACCTTCGGCACAACACGCCAAAACACGCATGAAATTCAAGATATGGACAACAATAAACATATTCCCTCTGGCAAAATTATATGCTGTGTTTTCATTGAGGATCATGTTTCAAAATTTGAATTTGCGCATCAGAAAAAGTCTAATGGAAACACGCCAACTTCGAATAAATCACAGCTCATGATGAGAACCTTCTATTAAATCTGACTTGTGTGTGTATTATTTTGATCTGTATGTTTTTAAAATGTGAAGCGCTTTGTGATCCTGGACAGTCAAAGGCTCTATATAAATACACTTTACGCAACAGGGATGTGTGACCCGTCTATTGCTGTGGCAGGCTCTGCGCTGCGTAATTACGCACGGCTATTTGTATTCCTCATTCACATCTGGTAAAGCAATGTGTTATTTCATTAGATTTGTGTAAGCCTCACACAGACACACACACCAATAACGCATCGATGGTATTACTATTGCTCACTCAAACGTCTCACTGCCCTGTCCAGAGTGCGCAGCGAGTGCCGTGAGAGGTCGGCCACATGTGCAGAAGTTTTGGCTCCAGAGTTTCTTTGTGAAATCTGGACCGCAAACGCTCTCTGAAGTGTACAGCGCTTCAATGCGCACTTCTACCCCGAGCCAGGCTGCGTCCAAGACGCTGCAGACGCTTCATTCAGAGCCACCGCTGCATAATATATATGAATTATTCATTCATTCAATCAATCTATATTTATTCACTTCTACAATTCAAGAAAGATTTTTCTAATGTATCAAAACATTTTGGCAAATTTGTTCAAAACGCAGCTGAATATATAGAGTATATTTATTTTTACATAAACATGAACAAACAAACGTCCCTTTTGAGGCTTCCAAACAGTCTTTTTGGCTGGCTTCCTGCTGACCTGTCACGAAGACGGGGCGTGAAACACGCGATTGCTGCATAATTCTAGGCGTGACTAAATACGTTCGTATTCAGCCGATTTATCAACACCCGCAGCTGCGTACGCTCAGAACTGGGCGGATCTCACATGTTCATAAATCCGACGTTGGATTTTGCGTAAATGGAATACACACCCAAAATGTACTTTTTCTACGCAAGTTTCATAAATAAGCTTGTGTGTATGGGCGCGTGTGAGTGCGTGTGTGCGTTTGAACCATATTCTTTGAAACCCCAATTCCAGTTAGCCCTTGTAGTTTGCAAGCGAATTTGGCCTACTTACTAATCTGCAGGCCTACCCAAAATTGCAAACCTGGCGCCGATACTGTTGCGAGGATGAACGGAGGGAGATATGTTTCCAAAAAGAAAAGGTGGTGGAGCTAATTTTACTTTTCTTATCTGCAACACGTTCTTATTCTGAGGTGGTAGGTTGGAAAAATGTAGTTGGCTACTACAATGCGAGATCTACAAGGCTTATAATATAAAGTATTCAGTAGCCCTATAGACTAGTTATGTGCGAAAGTTGTTTGCTTGTTGCTCCATTATCCGCGCGCAGCAATAACATGTCTATGAGCGAGGCCCGCAGTCGGGGAACATCGGACCCGAGGAACATCGGACCCGGGGAACATCGGGCCGACCCCGACCAGGTCCAGGCCAGGTCCAGATGAGGAGAATACTCCTGTCACTCATTGCTTGTTGGTAATCTCCACACTTATGGGAAGGGATTCTCATACAAATATACACACAACAACTTAAATACAAGCTCAAAACAGAATGACAACACGTGAATACTGCAGATAATACGAGATGAAGCACAGTAGCACAGGGAGGACGTTAGCTAAGCTGCTATCGATAGCTAAATGAAGCTAAATGTTGCTAGCTCACTGTGTACAACAGACAATCGAACATTTACACAGTAAATACATTTCAGTGAGAGCTTTAACGGGATTTGTATCTAACCAGTTATTTCCAGGATTACCACAGACTAGTCACAAATCCAGAGCTGGGTGATCTCCCTGAAAACTGTGTTGAGCCTCGAGCTGCCTTTGAATTCTTTCTTTGGCCTGAAGAGAGGAACGTGTGGACCTCGTCCACCGACCAGGACTAGGACTTTTGGTGCTTTCTGTGCAATTCCATTTCTCTGGAGTGAGGAGGACGGAATGTATCCGAAGCAGAGCCGAGCAGAGCAGCCTGTTTTAAAGATGGCGGTTGAGTTGTTTTTCCCAAAGGGTCAGATGTCGCTTCCAGTGACGACACTCGTTGACCAATTAGTGTAAGGCAGTGGGCCGATGCGACGTCATGGCTCGGGTACTATGGGGATGGAACCACGGCTGAGGCAGTACGGAAAAGTACTCAAATCTCCCATTCCATCCACTGGTGGAAACGCAAAATAACCGTGCTGAAGCGTACTGTACTGTACCGTACTGACACTGTGGAAAAGCGGCAAAAGAGTACTCTTTCCATGACCCCACACATGGCATAGTTCATTCACTACAAACACTGAGGTGGTGAGATACGGCTGTAGCCACAGCTGCCCTGAGGAAGACTGACTGAAGATCAAACCAAAACAAATTGGTGCCATTAGCCCCTTTTGACCATCACTGTGTGTGCACCAGACTCACACCAGACTCACACTCGGCAATGAAAACATTCTAACAAAATAAAAAAATAAAAATATCATCATTGTGGTATTAAATGGAGGGCTAGTGCAATATAGAGTGGTGTAATACGGGTCAGTGCAATACAGAATGGTGCAATATGGGTCTGTGTAATATCAGGTCAGTCAGGGCATGTGCAATACTCGGGTTTGTGCAATACAGATTATGTGTTTCTGTTACCGTTTTCTACATTGTGCTTTACTGTCCACTCTTGCTGCTTGTTCTAACATGTGATCACTGTTCCTGTCCCTGTCTCTCTGTATATAAATAGTGTGTATGTTTTTACTAACTTGTGTGTATCACCAACCTGCCAGGGGGTCTGCAGATGGAAATTTGCCTAAGGCTATAATCTGGCATATTTACATTTGTAAACATGTTCATTAATATGTATTGTTCCCCCTTTCTCAAAGAAATAAATAAATACATTTGTTATGGAGTATTGAGTCTGTTTCTCAGTCAGAATCAAAATAGAGTTTATAACAACACTGCACCATAGAGCGCAGCCCCATCAGCTACAGAAGCCCACAGGAACACTCATGAGCTGAATATGAATATTCAGAAAAACATACAATATCAGCCAGCCTGATCCAATCAAACTAAGTTCCCAATCTGGCCAGACGCTTGAACTCCTCCAGTTGAGGAAGGACCTCTGCCCCTGGAGACGGCAAGAGCTGCTGATCTTCATGAGTGAAAGTCAGACATGTTAAATACAAGACTGTGACATATTCTACGCACAACAAAAACCTCTCCATCCTTTGCATACAAGCGGTTTGTGTGAGAATAACATCACACTATAAAGAAAATACGGATCACGAGAGCACAATATCATAAATAAAAGCAAACAGTGTTTTCACCCACAGTTGCAACTCCATTCTCTCCGCTCAAGGAGAAGGAAATGCCAAACGAAGGTCACAGAGCAGCGGTGTGTGTGAGTCTGTGTAGAACTGAGAGCCAAAACACTTCTCAACCACTCCACTTCTTTACAATCACACTGCTACAGGACTATTCAGTGGATGCAGATTAGATTGAACACAGTACATTCATGCAAAAAAAAAAAAAAAAAAGCATAATTTATGATATTTTAGTCAATAACTTTACCGAGATTTGACTTTTCAGTGTTCAAACTTATATCAACAAAGTAAAGAAAACATGGATGAGTTTGAGTGAATGAATAAATCCACTGACCGTGCACATAACCAACCTGTCTGTCTGTTTTCAGTTACAGAGAGTAGGAGAAAAGTGAAAATACGCCGGTGTCTGGAGCTGTGTCTTTGGTGCCGCCATTTCCACGGCCCATTAGCCGCTTTATTCAGCCCGATGAAAGATATGGAGAGCAGAGCGCGGAGGATAGACGAGCCTATTACCCAAAAGAAAAAGATAGAGCAGCCAGGGGATTTTTAAAAGAGACGGATGCAGGATTTTGGTGTTTTCTTTTTTTCAAATTTGAGTTTTTGAACAGTAAACAGCATAGACCCAAATACAATTTGGGCTGAATAACGATAATGGAGCGAGTGATACAGAAGAAGCAGCGGATTGGATGGGAGTGCATGAAAGGCCAACGGGTGGTGCGGATCTGAGGCCTCTGTGGAGGGTCCGCGGGAGTCGAGTGGACATAAAAAACTCTCATGTTGTCACAGAGAGGACAGAGCAATGCCGAGCTGAGCTGAGCTGGACCAGTGGAGCAACAACTACCAAAGGGCATCACCGCAACAGCAGAGCACAAACGCTGCAAAAAGTTATACAAAATGACGTAATATATCTTGAATCGAACGGTTTTTATCCTAAGTAAGTGCCTTTCTCAGAGCAGAGTCACAAAGCACTTTACAATTGTTATTTTTTTGGGGCATTTTTCTCCTGCTCCACACAGAGATGGGAGCAAGATCCTAATTTGAGTACATACTTAAAATGAGATTTGTCAATGGGACAAAGCCATTTTTTTATATTTCAAAAACTGGTGCTTTATGATATCAATCCAAGGGAGACGTTTTTTGCATCTTTTTAGAATAAGATCATTTTGCTTGTCCCAGTCTTGTTTTAAAGTAGTCAAAATGTGTTATAATTTAGCATTACTTGACTTACTTTTCATCACTTTTTGGCAGTGCTCGCAGCCTCTCACGCCGACACGATTCATGGATTATATGGCTCCACAATAAGCCTGGCTTTTTGGAAACTGAAAGTTGGCTAATACACTTTGTTTGTCTAAAAAATTTAAATATCTGTGAACAAATCAGATGACAACATGCTGCCTTTTGCTCATTAGAAATTATTTATCTTTTCTATACTTGAAAGAGAAATTTAAGTCACTATTTGACTCTTTGGGCTGAGAGCTGATTGGCTGAGTGAGGATGAGTAATAAAAAGCGGCTTTTTTGATCTACACTGTATCTATAGATGCCCAGACAAGAAAAACACTGCAGATCATTTTGCGTAAAAATGATTGACTTTAAAGATGTTGTGACATTATCGTTATCAGGAGTTGGGGAAGAAATATTGAGGTATTCGTCTTTGCCCATATCGCTCACCCCTAGTTCGAAGATAATGCTCCTCCGGTTCGTGTTTACATGTGTATGTAATTCATGGTCCAATTTGGAGGCCTTTTATTTTTTTCATTGTTATGGGCCTGTTATAGCTTTGTGAAGCAATTTAGAAGATAAATATATATTCTGTATTCATGTCTTATGACTTATTGTTAGACGAAAACGTTAAGACATCCTTTTTTTCTTAAACAACTGTTAGTAACTGATTAATAAATCATGCACTGCAATATTAATAAATGATTAATTGTCAAACTAAAGGGTCTTTAACAAATGTGTAATAGTGTAAACAATGTACAGCTCACAAAAACTCTTAACTGTTAGTAACTGATTAATAAATCATGCACTGCAGAATTAGTTTATAATGAAGTATACAATTATTAATCATTGACATGTGGTTTAATCATGGTGTAATAAACCATCTATATACACAAATATTTATGTAAACAAATATTTACTATGATTACCAATAATCATGAACAAGTGAAGTACTTGAAGATGTATTCATTATGAGTTAAGCATTTATTAACTGTAGTAGTAAAGTAGTTATTAAGAGTTGGTCATACTTAATTAATGAATTGTTCATGATTAATTAATTGTTATTTCAACATTGATTAAGCCTTAATAAGGTGTAGTTATTATAAAGTGTTACCGATGGTTCTCTCATTTTCACTTTTCTGTCTGTAAAGGTTGATCTACAGATGTGGCAAAGACCAAAATACACGTGAGAGTAGAATTAAAACCAAACTTTCGAGAGGTTTCGATAAATTGCATTGAGATACAAACGTGACAGTTTTACTACATACCGTTAGTTTCATTGTTTGTAGTCTATAAGTCAAGTACCCCAGCTTTAACCTTCTACTTTATCAGAAGGATCCATGATGTCTGAAGGCATAATTCAGGTAATTAATGTCCATTGACAGTTAATTATTCCGAGCCGAGCAGGAACGACTTCTTTGTATGCAGATATACTGTATATGCATTCATTCACAAACACATATAATCAAGTAATCTGCTACAATTTTCTGGTTGAGTTCAAATAAATACGTCTAACTATAGTTATTAAGACGCACATTTTTATACTTGTAAACCTGTATCTTTTCTGTTCTAGTGTCAGCTCCAAAACCTCCCTACTTTCTCGGTCTCTATATTATAACTCTGACATATGGTGGAAAATATACACAAATATTTATGTAAACAAATATTTACTATGATTACCAATAATCATGAACAAGTGAAGTACTTGAAGATGTATTCATTATGAGTTAAGCATTTATTAACTGTAGTAGTAAAGTAGTTATTAAGAGTTGGTCACACTTAATTAATGAATTGTTCATGATTAATTAATTGTTATTTCAACATTGATTAAGCCTTAATAAGGTGTAGTTATTATAAAGTGTTACCGATGGTTCTCTCATTTTCACTTTTCTGTCTGTAA